GCCAGGAGCCCCTAGTAGCGTCCTTGCTCCTAGTAGTAAGGCCAGGATCCCTGCTGCCTCGCAGGCTGTCCAACTAGTCCTATCCTGCCTCCCTGGTGCCTCGCAGGCTGTCCAATTAATTCTTTCTGCTTCCCTGGTGCCTCCCTGGTGCCTCCCAGGCTGTCCACTTAGTCCTTTCCTGCCTCCCTGGTGCTGCCCAGGCTGTCCAATAGGTCCTTTCCTGCCTCCCTGGTGCCTCCCAGGTGCCTCCCAGGCTGTCCAAATGGTCCTTTCCTGCCTCCCTGGTGCTTCCCAGGCTGTCCAATAGGTCCTTTCCTGCCTCCCTGGTGCCTCCCAGGCTGTCCACAGGCTGTCCAAATGGTCCTTTCCTGCCTCCCTGGTGCCTCCCTGCGGGACGATGCCGATCTAGTAGCGTCCTTGCTCCTAGTAGTAAGGCCAGGAGCCCCTAGTAGCGTCCTTGCTCCTAGTAGTAAGGCCAGGAGCCTCTAGTAGCGTCCTTGGTCGTAGTAGTAAGGCCAGGAGTGCCTAGTAGCGTCCTTGCTCCTAGCGTCCTTGCTCCTAGTAGTAAGGCCAGGAGCCACTAGTAGCGTCCTTGCTCCTAGTAGTAAGGCCAGGAGCCCCTAGTAGCGTCCTTGCTCCTAGTAGTAAGGCCAGGAGCCACTAGTAGCGTCCTTGCTCCTAGTAGTAAGGCCAGGAGCCCCTAGTAGCGTCCTTGCTCCTAGAAGTAAGGCCAGGAGCCCCTAGTAGCGTCCTTGCTCCTAGTAGTAAGGCCAGGAGCCACTAGTAGCGTCCTTGCTCCTAGTAGTAAGGCCAGGAGCCCCTAGTAGCGTCCTTGCTCCTAGTAGTAAGGCCAGGAGCCACTAGTAGCGTCCTTGCTCCTAGTAGTAAGGCCAGGAGCCACTAGTAGCGCCCTTGCTAAGTAAGGCCAGCAGCCCCTAGTAGCGTCCTTGCTCCTAGTAGTAAGGCCAGGAGCCCCTAGTAGCGTCCTTGCTTCTAGTAGTAGGGCCAGGAGCCACTAGTAGCGTCCTTGCTCCTAGCAGGAGCCACTAGTAGCGTCCTTGCTCCTAGTAGTAAGGCCAGGAGCCACTAGTAGCGTCCTTGCTCCTAGTAGTAATAGTAGTAAGGCCAGGGCTCCTAGTAGTAAGGCCAGGAGCCGCTAGTAGCGTCCTTGGACAAGAAGCTACTAGTAGCTCCCGGCCCGTGGTTTGGTCCGTTCTGCGACTGTTGGGCCCCCGACCTATTCAGCTCCCGCTGCAGCTGACATCATCGCGGTGGGCCCGGAAGACCCGAAGCTCTTCCCCGTGGGCGACGGGGTCTTCGTGTTTTTCACCGGCAAGATGTGGGGAGCCCCAGGCGGAAACGTGAGGCTCAGCGGCTGAGCTTCTTTTTTAAAGCCCGTGGCCCTGCTTCCTTATACTTATATAATAACTCTTGAATCTTTATTAAGTAATTTAAGTAGGCGCCTACTTAATTAAGTAAGGGAGCAAGCTACTAGCTACTTAAGCGACTACCTACTACACGCGATAGTGCTCGCACTAATGAGATTTCTTGGAAAACTTAACATTCTGACATGGAGCTTTCCGATGCGACCAGTTTCAGCAGCTGGTGCGGTGGTTTCTCTTGCCATGGGTTTCTGAACTCATTTGCAAAATCCAAGTGGATGTGGTGGTACGTGGGGAAGCTCATGAAGCGCTGGGTCACCCTTCTTTACTTCTTTTCGGGCCCTGTAGCCTTATTAATAGTAGTAAGGCCCTTGTTACTAGTAGCAATGCCCTTGTTACTAGTAGCAATGCCCTGGTTGCCAGTAGCAATGCCCTTGTTACTAGTAGTAATGCCCTTGTTTCTAGTAGTAGTGCCCTTGTTACTAGTAGTAATGCCCTTGTTGCTAGTAGTAATGCCCTTGTTACTAGTAGTAATGCCCTTGTTACCAGTAGTAATGCCCTTGTTACCAGTAGTAATGCCCTTGTTGCTAGTAGTATTGCCCTTGTTACCAGTAGTAATGCCCTTGTTACTAGTAGTA